GGCCCTGCGCGGGATCTGCACGGCGGGTTTTACATGCTCCCATCTGCAGACACGCTATTGAACTAGGCTGTTTCATCAGATAAAGTGGAAAGATCAAATGCAGAACTTTAAAATACCACTTTGTGTTGTAATGCTATTTAAATCCATGTCAATCTTTTCAACAGTTGCATACTCAAAAGGGGCCCAAACAATATCACTTCAATTACAGTTTCAGGAACAAATACTCAGGTATTTAAGGACATCAAAAGGAATCACTTAGCTGCACAGAACTGTCCTCAGAAAATGTGTGGGACATGTTCCTTTGGGTACTTGTTTGAACCCCCAAGTCAAAAAGATGGAACCAATACCAAGTTTAACAATAATGGCTTCTCAGTGGTTTTTGATAACATTTTCAAAAACCATTTGGAAAAAAAAGTATTTAAAAACAAAAGCTAAAGTGATACAATGTGAAATGGCAAAAAATACACTCCAAACATTTTTATTGCAAGAAACAAAAAGCACACAACAACCTATACAAACATACATATTACTAGCTACAGACAGACAGATGTAGAACATGGCACCATGTTCGACTGTGCAAACCTCCAACCTACATGATCTAAAAACGATCGTACATTATCTGTACAACACAAAGTCATACAGGAAGTATTCTAGCATATTCAATATGAAATACAATGCAGTACTAGGCACAAATACCAAAATTCACATTAAAACTCTGCAAATGATGGCATTACTCATATTTTAGTATGCTGAATCAAATACATTGTATTTACAACATACACTAGGTTTTGCTAGAAAATATGTTTAAGTTAATGTTTGGAAAATTAAGTGTAAGGCTACATTGTTTATAATTAAGTGCAGTGTGTAGAAAAAAAAGTGTGATTGTGTTTTTACATACTGCTTTTGATGTCCCACTCACTGGTTCAGTTCGACTTCTAGAAGAAGAAATAAAGGCCATCAGAATTAAAGAAAAAGCACTTGGATCCAATATAAAGCAGTGAAAACGGATTATAAAACCTACGCATCAAAATGCACCGTTCTAATTGTCTAGCAAATATGAACGTTTATTCATATATACAAGCTGTTCTCCCTTCATACATGCATAGAGACTTAAAAAACATTTCTACTTTGACGAAAAAAAACAACTTACATATATACAACAGTGTAAATTAAAGCCTTCATATACTGATTCCACTAGGTTAGAATCAAAACCAAAGTCTGTGCTACGACTTTGTGTTCTCAAATAATCACCCATCTAAATGGGAAGGTAACTTTAGCCAATCTGCATAGTCCTAGTATCAGAAGGCAGACACAATAATTTCCAAGAATGAACAGCAATAGTCTAGACACTTCGAAGTGTGAATTTTTACTCAAGTGAAAGTCGCTCATCTGACAGGAATAACAAAATGTCAGAGTGCAGTCTTGAGAACAGTGTTTCTTTGTGGAAGCCCAAGCACTGTGTTCAGATATCTGCTATATTTAGCCATGAAAGTGCCAAAATATTAAACGTGTTACATACGCTACATTGACTAAGAATAGTAGTAGAAATGTCACCTGAAAGCAGTTTCTAGGATTTTGTGCGATTTAGGAGTCCTGTGACAGAAAAAAAGGTCTTAATTGCCAGAATTTGCTTTAAGATAATCTTGAAAATGCTACAATATTTTAGGAACTATATCTTATCACATTTGAAAACTTGCTGAGATTCCACATACTGATTGATCTGTACACATGCTGCTTATGAATCAGACATGCAACTATCGCCCCCGCTAACAAACAGTGCACACAGGCATCCAGCGCGTCCACGAGCAGAGGCAGCTCCAAGGCTGCTAGGGAGCGGGGGCGCAGGGAAAGGCTGGGACATCCTCCCCATGCTGGGAAGCCTCCAGGCCCGTGGCTACAGCCATGGACTTTCTGAGGACGGGGACGTAAGGAAGCCTTGATGTTACCACACAATCACTTCCTAGCGTTTCTTCCTTGAAGGATGTACAGGAGGAATCATGCATTTTCAAAGGCCTCCAAATTATTACATTATATATTTTTATTTTACAAGCATCAGTTATCTCATGGTTGTTTCAGTAGCACTAACAAAGCTCATCTGCCTGATTAACGTTCAGGTTTAGAGCAGCAGGGCCGTTTTTCCCCTGCCCACATACAGATACTTGTTTGGTGTCATTTAGAGCAGGATCACGACACCAGGAGAGGGTGTCCCCAGCCAGGACGGAGGCCGCGCTGCCCGGACGCAGAGCTGGTCTCAGCCTCCAAAGCAGGCGGCGTTCAGAGCAGTAGTGCAGGGGCCAGGACTGCTGGCAGAGCCCCAAAGCCCCACCACTGCAGCAATGACCTAAGGCTCACATGCAGCCCCGCCACACGAGCCGTTTGGTTTGCCAGCGCCTCATGGACGCCAGGATGCTGCTGCACCGTTTGTTAGATACATACCATAACTTAGCAGTGCACTTCTAAGAACCAACAGTAAAGATACAGCATAGCAAAACAGCAAGCTAACAACATCTGCTATTTGTGCTGCTGAGGCATCGCTTTAGTGAGGCTAGAAGACACGAGCACTCGAACAACACTCGAGTAACCCACAGCGAAGTGGACTGTATGTACAAACGAAGGACAGCAATAATCCTGTAGTCCAACTGCATTTAGATTTTTGTAATAATTGACGCATTTAATTCTGTTTTCCAAGAGTTCTAAGAATTTAAAATGAACACCTGGAGATCAGATATCAGCTTAGACCAAAGAGAATTAGAAAGATAACTAATCAATCTTATTGGCATGCTTCCTGAACTGCTTCCCGAGTTTCAAGTTGGGAAAATATTAATTATTCCTTCATTACACACAAAAAGCTATTTGCTTAAGGACATTTTTCTTTGGGCATCACCTGAAACAGCTACTGCTTCATTGCAAACATTCCCAGCTAATAAAAGCCAGAAATAAGACATGTTTGCCTGGCTCATCAACCGGCAACCCTTGGCCGTTCCCCTGTTGTTTACTAGACAAACCCACCACATTCAGGTCATAAGAATACCTGCCAGATCCAAAGACCAAAATGCAAGAAAGTCACATTAAGATACAGATTTTTGAGATAAGAATAAACTACATTGCATATCCATGCCAACTCTAAAAGAAATTAATAAAATATTAATAAAACGAGGTCTACACCTAACACCTCACAAGATCAACCCTAAGAACAAAGTCAACAGAACTATTTTAAAAGTTACTATTGCTAGAGATGAAACCCAATGTCCCAGTAAGCCTAAAAATTTAAGTTCACATTGGGACAAATAAAGGACTATCTACCCCCTTACAACAAAGGCTTGTAACAACTCTGCCAAGAAAAATACAACAGGAATCCTTCAGGCAAACTAAGATCAATCAATCAATCAAAAAAAAAGTTTAAATGCTGAAGCCTTCTCAAAGAATACAGTGTTTTATGGGGACTTACATAACATATGTTTTGCTGGTCGCTTTAACTCCTCCAATCGGGATTCTTCTAACAATTACTGATGAATTCTTAGGAATCAGGGCAGTATCATCTGTGTATTCTGAAAGCAACAGAAAAACAGCAAAGACATCAGTCTCAATTCACAATAACATATTAATACATATTTGTATAGCACTTCAGAGACTCCCTTTAAGGATACAAACCCAGAATTTTATATGTAACAAGGTGTTTCTATTGCCTACATAAACTAACAGTAAGCTTAAATAAGATCTTTAGATTCGATAATCAAACGCAACAGATTTTTTTCAACCAAGTTGAATTCCAACAGTACAATAACCTCAAATATCACTAAAGGGGGATCTTACTAATGCAAAAGGTTCTTTCCTATTGTTGCTTAAGTTGCTTTTGCTTCTATTAAGACTACAAAGCCAATAGCTCTTGGAGAAAACCTGCAGCAAAATTCTCTAGGGAAGAAACAAACACTTTCATAGACGCCGCTCGCTTGTCCCCCAAGACGGTATTATCCAAAGCCTGAAAACTTCCTAGGACTGTTTGCACTGCTGGTAACTGGGAACCACTCACCCACACTGCTAGTGTTTCCACACAGTCAGAACTCAGGAGAAGAGAGCCCGCCTGCTTATTTCTTAAGTTTATAAATCAAGAACAATGGCATTTTTCAGCTTAGTGCTTCACATTTAAATGGAGACTAGACGACATGGCTGGAATTCTGACCACAGAAGCTACTTATTGTTTTCCCCCCTCCTCCTCCAATAGGCCAGAAGTTGCTCAACAAAAGTGCTCTCTCCCCGTAAGCTCAGGGACTAGCACAAATTAACCAAAACGGCGCCGGAGGTGGGTTTTAGATTCAGCTTTTGCAGAACAAAATGACTGTGACAAAATTAGTCACAAAAACAGGCCTTAAAAAGGCCTTAGAAAATAGTGCACGCCTGAAACTACCCACACTTTACCCCAGCTCACATTATGCTAGTGTTTTTGAAAAGAAAACCTTTTGACCTTTTACATAAGACAAAGCAACAGTAAGTACCCTAGAGACTTTCAGATTGAGTAAGCTTCAAATGCAAAGATCTTGCCACGAAAATGACATGTATATTCTATTTACACAAGCTGCACATGGCTAAATATTCTAAAGCTCTCTTATCAGGCGTTCCCTATAAGCCACCTATATTTTATATATCAAAACCTTGTACCTTTGTAGGATGAATTGGAAGGATGGTCTGAAAAGCCAGAGCACGTACGTGCATGCCACGATACAGCACTGTACACATCATCTGTGCAGCTCTGCACAGCAATCACACATGAAAGATTCCATAATCTACACTTCATTTTTCAGTATGTTCCTCCCAGTGACAGGAACCTCCCCTAAACATACATATCCCCTAAATCACTGCTTTAACAATGAAACAAAAGTTTAGCTTCTATTTCCAGTGACAGAAATGCTTCTTCAGGAAAACTGAAAGTAAATCCTCAGCTTTCCCAAAAAAA